AATAGGTCTGATCTGATTCATCATCATTTAAAAAAAATCCATCTATTATTTTTTCACTTTATGTTTCTGTGTGGGAACAAACTGTTGAAATCCTTACTTAAGGTATACTAAGCTGATCTTCTGTATATTAAGATAATCGAAAATGAATCTTGATGTGAATGGAAGGGGAGAGGGAGTGGGAAAGGGGAGGGTTGTGGGTGGGAGGGACGGTATGGGGGGGAAAGCCATTGTAACCCATGAGTCGTACTTTGGAAATTTATATTCATTAAATAAAAGATTAAAAAAAAATAATGTACTATGTCACAGCACCGGCCCCAAAAAATTTTATTTGAAGGGTACACTCAAGCAGAGATGGGGGGGGGGAGAGAGAGAGAGAAAGAGAGAGAGAGAGAGAGGGAGGAAGATTACCCATCTATCTATCTATCTATATCTTCCATCCACTGGTTTACTCCCCAAATACCTGTAATAGCCAGGGCTGGGCAAGATCAAAGTCAGGAGTCTGAAATTCTCTCTGGGTCTCCCAGTACGGGTGACAAGAACCCCAACTACTTTAGCCAGCCTCCTGCCTCCGAGGGTGCACCTTAGCAGGAAGCTGGAATTGGAAGCCGAGCTGCTGGGACTGGAACCCAGACCCTCTGACACAGGTGTCCTAAGCAGTGTCTTAACGTCCAAGCTCACACTTCCAATTCCATTTTCCCATGATGTTTTTGAAATATTCCTGCCGAAGTGGGGGGAATGGCACTGTAGCAAGCCTCCTGTGTGTGTGTGTGCGTGTGGGAAATTGCAGCAGTGCTACGGTAATGCATGTACGCTCTGGAATTGGAAGCTGTCTCCGTGGGACTTCCTGGCTACAGCAATGCCCACTTGGAGCACTGAGAGGGGCTGATGTACCTAAAACGCTCAGAACATTTCCTGGGGCTGGTGTTCTGGTGCTGCGGGTTAAGCTGCTGCTCAGGATGCCTGCATTCACTCTTGCAGCGCTGGTTCGAGTCCTGGCTGCTTTGTTTCTGGATCCAGCTCCTTGCTAACGCGCTTGGGAAAGCGGTAGTGAGAACCCAAGTGTTTGGGTCCTTGCCACGCATGCTGGAGATCAGGGTGGAGCTGTTGGCTCCTGGTTTCAGCCTGGTCCAACCATGGCTGTTGCGGGCATTGAAATCAGTGGAGCTGGCACCGCGGCTCAACAGGCTAATCCTCCACTTAGCGGTGCCGGCACACCAGGTTCTAGTCCCGGTTGGGGCGCTGGATTCTTTCCCGGTTGCCCCTCTTCCAGGCCAGCTCTCTGCTGTGCCCGGAGCAGTGAGATGGCCCAAGTGCTTGGGCCCTGCACCCCATGAGAGACCAGGATAAGCACCTGGCTCCTGCCATCGGATCAGCACGGTGCGCCGGCTGCAGCGCGCCAGCCGTGGCGGCCATTGGAGGGTGAGCCAACGGCAAAAGGAAGACCTTTCTCTCTGTCTCTCTCTCTCACTGTCCACTCTGCGTGTCCAAAAAAAAAAAAAAAAAATCAGTGGATGGAGGATCTCTCTCTCTATTTTACTTCCTAAATATGTCTTGAATTCTTCTGTCCTCACCGTCACTTCCTCTACAACTGGTCCAGATGGGTGGCACCTGTGACCTTGTTCAGCAAGTGCTGACCCCCTGTGGAGCCCCCATCAGCTGCGCATGAGTCTCCCCCCTTCTCCCCACCTAAGGCCCATTCCGTGTCCCCCTGCGCTGTTGCTGTTTCATTGCGCACACCAGGGGGCGCCAGCCCTGGCCAGCTCGCTGCTGTTTTGGAAGGCGTGAGGAAGAAGGTTAGGCGGCTAGAAGCTGAGAGCGACCATGCCGCGGAACCACGTCCTCCAGGCGGGGCTGGCCGGCACCTCTGTAGGACGTGACGCCCTCAGAGCACTCAGGGTCGGCTGTAATCGTTGTGCGAGGGCAGGATGGAGATAAGAGCCTGACCTCGATGTGTGCCAGGGCAAGCAGAGATCGTGGCTGGCGGTGATTCTTGCAACAAGAGTCGCAAATATGTTTTTGTATTTGGAAACGGGTGAGGGAAGAGATGGGGGTGAAGAATGGGCGTGGGGGCACCCCCCTCCCTGCGAGGACGTGCAAGGGCCCTGTGGTGAGAGATGACTGATGGAGAAGGGATTTCTGGAGACAGGTGTGTGCACGAAGCCACGCCTCCACCCAGGGGTGCTCTTAGTTCCACAGGAGACCTATTCAAGGTCAAGGGGACTTGTTGATGAGATGCTGAGGCCTCTGAGGACTGGAGAAGCTGGGGGTGGAACACGCCTGTGAGAAATCAGGTCTTGGAAATGCTGTCCTCACGGGGGGTGTCCTGCTTGTGCGTGGGTGAGACCTGGGATTGCTTCCTGGTGTTACACCCACACGAGAGGCTCCTCCCCCATCTTGGGGGAATGTTTTTATTTATTTAGAAATTTTATTTATTTGAGAAACAACGAGGGGGGTGAGAGAGAGAGAGGTTCCATCCACTGCTTCACTTCACTCTCCAAATGCCTGCAACAGCCAGAGCTGGGCCAAGCTAAAGCCAGGAGCCTGCAGCTCCATCCAGGTCTCCCACGTAGGTGCAGGGACCCAAGCACTTGGGCCATCTGCTGCTTTCCCAGCCACATTAGCAGGGAACTGGATCGAAAGTGGAGGAGCTGGGACTTCAACCAGTGCCCACAGGGGATGCCAGCTCTTGTAGACAGTGGCTTTACTTGCTACACCATAGCGCTGGCCCCCAAAAATAATTTTTTAAAAAAGTTTCTTCTAGGGAGTAGTAAAATAACATTGCTTAAAAAACATAACTGTAGAATGTGCTGCAAGTGCATTGTCCTGAGCTAGGGGGAAACTGCCCAGGACGACCCAGGCAGGGCTGCTCTCCCTGGGGTCCCTTGGCTGTGGTGCAGGTGGGGACAATGCAGCCGAGGCTCCATCCAGTGCCGGGGACAGCTCTCTTGGGCTGTGTGCTTGCATTCACTCCCTGGGAGTGTGTCCCTTGCTGCCTGGCTGCACCACGTGTGCCCTGCCAAGCTCCCTTGCCCCTCGGATGGAACAACCGAAACATCGCTTTACAATGGCGCCATGTAGGTCCCAGCGCCCAGAACCTGGGAGTGTTGCCTCATGTGGAAAAAGGGACTTTGCAAAGGTGATCAAGGATTTGAGATGGAGGAAGTCATTCCAGATCACACGGATGGGCCCAGTGGAGTCAGGGGGGCCTTGGGAGAGGCAAACAAGGGGTCCACACTCAGGGGCAGGTGTTGTGGCCCTGTGGGTTCAGCAGTGGCTTGTGCCACTGGTGTGCCACACTGGAATCATCTCCTTCAAGTCCCCTGCTCTGTTTCCCAGCTCCCTGCTGATGTGCCTGGGAAAGCAGCAGTGATGGCCAAGTTCTTGGGCCCCTGCCACCCACGTGGGAGACACCAGGAACCTGGAGCTTCATCCGGGTCTTCCATGTGGGTGCAGGAACCCAAGCACTTGGACCATCTTCTGCTGCTTTCCCAGCTGCATTAGCAGGGAGCTGGATCAGAAGTGGAGTAGCCGGGAC